AAGACTGACAGTCTTCTAAGGAGGTTGTGAAACAATCACACAGACTGACTTTGCTGTATTCTTCCCTGCGCCCAGAGGAGGCAGCAGTGAGCATGCCTAAGGGTTGGTCTTGCACAGACGCACAGCAAGTAAATCTAGGCACAGAAATAAGTCCCTTGCCCAAGGTTACATGGTTAGTGATAGAGACAGAATTCAAATCTAGGTTATTTGACTCCAGATCCTTGCTTCTCACCACTGCTAAACTGAAGCCAGTCTAGGTTTAAATCAAATGCTAATTTTAATTCTTCCAAGCCTGCAATTTTTTAATCACTGTATACTAACAACCCAGAGTCCTCTGACAAGTATTATAACTTTTTCACTTCTTTTTAACACATGCCTGAAATTTTTACACTTTTGTTTTATTTTGGAATCATTGCCTACAAAGATGGTCATTTTGCTTCCTGATTTTGTTTGCACCTTTTGTTTCCCCTAGCATATTAGTTGTGGATTAGACATATTGGCACTGGGAGATCTGAGGTAAGAGGTACACTGTTAGGGTATTTAACAGTTTACTGCTGGAGTAGCTTATCCTTAATTTCACCACAGAAGGAGAGAAAAGGAAGGGCCTTGGACGAAATTTGAACTCTGTTTCTATAAACATCTTTAAAACCACCTGTCATTTCACTTTTCTCCCTAGAAATCTTACCTGACTACAGATGTAGTTCCTCTAAAATACAATAACATTGGACTTGAGTAAGGTCATGAATTAATAAATAAATGGGACATCTACGTAATATTTTAGATTTGATGTCTGCCATAATTTAATGAAATTTCAGGACAAAAATGACAGCCAGGATTCAGTCTTTCCACCATCTGTCCCAAGATAAATGAGCATAACAACAAAATATAATTGCATTAAATTTATTTCAAAAGTTGAAAAACTGCTATATTTTATCATAAATGAAAATATTATCATGTCTTTTATGATGTGTATCCTTGAGATCTGGGAAGAAGGTAGAATGATCATGAGAACTGTGAGAAGAAATGTTTCAGAGGAAGATTATGTGCAAATAAATGAACCATCTGAGCCTGCCAGTCAATATTATTACTTGTATTATTTTATTATTAATATTAATTTCTGTTAGGAATGATTAGAATACATAATAAAGCTAATTCTTACACATGTATATATTTGTCCTCCAATCATATATGTGCAAGATATTGTGTAGATTCCTAAAACTATAAAGAAGGCTGAGGAAAAAATTATCTGCTCCTAAGAAGTTTAACATTTAGGAGAAATTATAGATATACATTAGAAAAATAAATCTGAGATAGGCAAATGTCAACAGGCAAAAAGCCAAATATTGCTATGGTATTTAAAGGAACTTATGACTCAGAATATTTTTAAAACTTTTTCCAAATACAGTTTCTTTGATGATAATATAGAAAGATAACAATTTTTTTTAAGTAATGTCTTTGAGTTTAATAGATTTACGGGTTGTAAAAATGACCAAACAAGTGCCATATACAGGTGGATGGAAATCATTCCAACTTTATTTATGTACAATTGCTTAGAGGATGTTAAGATGCCTTGTAAAGGTTTTCTGAAAGTACCTGTGTTTTCAGAATGCAAGCCATCATCTCCAAGCAAATAACATTTCTCTAAACTGATTACCAACTCCAATATTCCACCAAAACAGCTTTCACTGTGGTCTAGATGAGCCTGCCATGCTGCTGAATCCAGGTACCAACGAACCAAGCCAGGGAGCTACATGGTCAGGGGTGGCACCTAAATCACAGTGTCTTCTGGCTCAGTAGAGACCAAGGCTGACACCACTCTGAATACAGAAATGTAAATAAAGATTTATTCACTGTTATGAAATCAATTACACTTTAAGTACTTAATTCGATCTGGTGTTCTGGAAACTTCATGAATTAAGAATACTGCCAGGCAGGGTGTGGTGAGTCACCCCTATAATCTTAGCACTTTGGTAGGACAAGGCAGGTGGATCTTCAGAGTTCAGGAGTTAGAGAACAGCCTGAGCAAGAGTGAGACCCCATCTCTAAAAACTGGCCAAGCATTGCGGTGGGTACCTGTAGTCTCAGCTATTCAAGAAGCTGAGGCAAAAGGATTGCTTGAACCCAAGGGTTTGAGGTTGCTATGAGCTATGATGCCACAGCATTCCAGTGAGTGTGACAAAATAAGATTCTGGTTCAAAAAGAACACTGCCTATCAAAATTGGCATTGCATCATGTGGGAATAAGGCTCACATGTATCTCATACTTTATATAGGAAATGTAGAAAAATCCAGAAATGTGTACATCTCCACAATCTATAAACTCCAATATTTTTATTGAACATTTATTCCTTGGAGCTTTTCAGGGAACGTTTTATCTTCTTAATTCTTCTTGTTATTCTATTTCCAAATAACACAGAAGTTTGTCAAAGGCAAAGAATATGCAACTGTCATTGTTGCTATAAATTTCAGATGATTCTGTGTTCCAATGCTGTTAACCATGTTCTTAGAAAGAGATAGAAGAAGGTATACTTTGAATACAAATTCTGATTTCATGCTGTGCCTTTGGGATTCTTACATCTTATTTCTGATTTTCAAAAGGTAGTGACTCAACTGTCATCAACATGTCCCCCACTCATCCACCTGATGCCTGACACTGTCACATAAACAGGTCTGTGCCTTAAGACAAGACTGAGGGGAATCATATATCAAGAGGGACTCACATCAACCCTCAAAGGCCCTAAAACCATAACTTTGGGGATTTTCTTAAACATAGGGGCAAAATAATCAGCCCATTTATATAAATAAACGGATTTTTATTTTAAGCATTGAATTATAAAATGTTCAAAGAAATAACATTTTATCAACTGGTAAGGACAGCTAAACCCAATAAAAATGAATGTCTTAGTCTTTATCAAATGACTTAGAAAAACATCCTAAAATGTGACTATTAATTTTTCTCATTCTAAAACTTCTTCTCACAGAGTGAAAATTAATTTGAAGCTATTTATCAGGATTCTTCACTATATAAACATTAAATTGAGCCAATAGTATACAGCAGGAATAGGATTATTTTAATCTCTTAGTGATGATGCAAACCTCCTTTAAGATCTGTTATCATCTGGCATGACTTATAAAGAAAGCTGCATTGACTCCGAAAGCAAATTACTTACTAAATGGTTTTAGTTTGATTTCCTTAAAAAGTCTCCAAAACATACGAATTTCTAATAACCACTGTGTAATAACTGATATCATAGATTTTAACAAGCATTTACCTTGCAGCTTTGTGACTGGTCAACTTTTATGACATCACTCTGTTCAACCAGTCATTTTGAGAAAAATAACCATGCTCTTTTCATAGACTGTAACAGCACCAATGTATATATGAATTCCCTGTCAAAGCAGGGGGGAGCTCCCCTGAGCGATTGAACTTAACCAAGCTTTCATTTCCGTGCTTTAGAAGTGCACACTGATTCAGGCATTTAATTGAATCTATGCTTAGGGAATCTTACCGCATGCAATATCTCACATCCAGTTTTTTCTCACATTCTCTAAAGCAATCGTTCTCAAAGTGTGATCCCTAGGCCAGCAAACATCATCTGAGAACTTGTGAAAAATGAAAATTCTCAGGTTCCACCCCGGAACCTACCAGATACTCTGTGAGGCCTAGACACATGTTGGAACAAGCCGCGCAGGTGACTATGATGCAGGCTGAAGTCTGAGCTCTGCTCTAATGCAAAATGGTCTTCTCTTGCTATGAACAACAGTTATTATCCCTTCCTTTGTAGCAGTAGATTTTGTAAAGTCCTTGGTCTCCAAGTCAGGGTTGCTCTTGTACTTATACAATCTACAGGTGTTCTTTATAAATGGTACCAAATTTTAAAAGTTTCATTTCATAAAGGTTTTAGACTCTGGCATAGTCACAAAACATATTAAAATGTTGACATGTATGTAACTAAAAGTTTGAGTTGTAAAGAAAGAAAGGTGACTAAAATAGTATGATATTATAGAGATAAAAATGAATGATGTCTAAGATCAATGAATTTTTTCCTATAAGCAAACTCAAAGAATACAGAGCTGATTCTAACCTTTGTCTTTGGTATTTTCTGGGTCCAGAACTTATCCCATCTATAAAACTGGAGCCGAGGGTACACAATGAATGAATGAAGCACGCAGGCAATAGCTAACCCTACACAATCGCTTTCAAAGGCAAGCTGGTTTGGTTACCCCAAAGAACAGATAGAAAAGAGCTGGCTTATTTTACCAAAATCCCCTGTGATGTAGTCTGTGTTGTCAGAAAGGCTAAAGAGAAAACTTGAAAAAACGGAATGAATTTTATTATAAAAATATACTCCTCAATTCCTGTAGAGGTTTGGGTAAAACATCATTTTCTCCCCCTTTCTATGATAAAAACAAAATCAGAGCCAACTGTATAGTATAATTTTTATTTAAAAAGTGTTTTAATTTTTTTCTTAATTTCATTTTAAAACCATGCACTTCCTATTTATAATCATATGCATCACAAAGCTGTGGGGCTTGCCTAATATTTCCCTTAGCAGTTTAGTATGGCCCACATTTGGCGTGTATGGGAACCAACATAGTATAATTCCCACTTTATGGCAGATTTCCCACCAGAATCTTAATCTTTTGAGTATTTCTAAAATTTAAGCAGAGAAAATACTTTTATAGAGCAACATGGAACTTCTGCAAATAATTCATATTTCACAGATGTCACTGATATTCTGGGGGGAAAAAAACACTTTATTTTCTTTTAAAAAATACCGAAAGATTATTATCAAGTGTGCAGTTACATTAAAAGGGAGATTATGATGTGTCAAACAATAAATTTCCTTGTATAAGTTTAAAATAATTTGGCTACAATAAATGAAAGAAGCATTTTAAATAAGTTTATCTGCCCAACAGCCCTTTAAACCTGTTAAGTCAACTTCATGAAACTATTCTAATTTAAATTTATTTACATCCAAGAAAATCTGAACATGATACCTGAGACTGTGCGTTAATATTGGCTCCCTCCTTAACAAGGACTTTGACGACCTCTGCTTGTCCAGCCAAAGACGCGATGTGAAGGGCAGTGTTGCCTTTCTGTTTGGAGGAAACGAAATAGAAAGTCCAGTGTTAGAAGTTTCCAAATTGTGTAGAAGTCAAAATATTGCAGGCATTTTCATTGGCTAATTCCTTTGACCAATTAAAATGTATCATTTTACCAAGACAGTGGCCCATTCTTGGAGGGATTATATTTTACTATCAAAAAAATTAACCAACTGACAGAGTGGCTTCCTCTTTATCTATCACAATACTGGGCTAGTGTTGAGAACACTGAAAAACTGGGTTCTTAAGAAATCCAAAAGTTTGGAGGGGGACTATGACCAATTATCTCATGAAATTTATGAGATTTAATCAATAACTAAAGAGTTCTACTATAAGGAAACATTAACTAAACAAAAAGAGTAGACTGAGACATTGAGTTTATTTCAACATGCAAAGAAAAGCTACAAATTTTCAGCCATATAAAAAATGACATTGCTGACAGGTGTGTTTCCAGAACCAGGCACATACATGGTTGTTGCTCAAAATATTTTAGAATTAAAAAAATACATTTTGCATTAATCATCATGTTACCAGTAATTTCTGCCATTTCCTATCAAAATTTACCATCCACAGCACCAAACACAAATAAAAATAATTTTGATCTTTTGCGAAAATATAATATGGGCCAAGAGATTAAAAGTGCTGATGATGTAATTAAAATAAATAACAAAAAGAAAAAAATGGAAAACAGAAACCTGTAGATTCCAAGCCTTAGAGTCTCCTTTTTAAATGAGATTTTCTTCTGGAAAATTCTACAACTCCAATCTCTGATTAAAAGTAAACTTACTCATTAAAATACCAATAGAGTTTAAAAGAAAGGAAAAAAATTAAACATATAAGCAATCAAAAAGTGGTTGATTTAATGAATATATTATATTAACATGGGCAAATCAAAGGAGGCAAATAATCTGATCTACAGTCAAATTGATATTTCTTAAACATTTGTTCAATGTTTATTTGGTGTCCAAAGATGCCATGGGAACAGCAGTATCCCCTTCCAGTATGGGAGAATGAGAAGACAAATGTTGATTAAAATGTTTACTTGTTCTTTTTTTTTTTTTTTTTTTTTTGAGACAGAGCCTCAAGCTGTCCCCCTGGGTAGAGTGCCATGGCATCACAGCTCACAGCAACCTCCAACTCCTGGGCTCAAGCGAGTCTCATGCCTCCGCCTCCCAAGTAGCTGGGACCACAGGCACCTGGCTATTTTTTGGTTGCATCCATCATTGTTGTTTGGCAGGCCCAGGCTGGATTCGAACCCACCACCTTAGGTGTATGTGGCTGGCGCCTTAGCCACTTGAGCCACAGGCGCCAAGCCTGTTTACTTGCTCTTTATGTTCAAAGTAAGACATTTATTGCATACAGTGAACTTTAACTTCTTTGGAATCACGGAAAGTTGTTTTTGTCTTTAATTTTTACTAGAATTGCAGTCTACTCTACTATAAGCAGGATCAATGTATACTTTGGCAGTGATGCATGAGGCCCTGGAAATCCAGGTTCACTGGTCATATTTCTAATTCATTCCCACATTCTTTTTTGTTTACCTCTGATTGGACTAATGTCTCTCTTTGTGTTTCCCACCATCATATTATCATATTCCAGCCCTGCTCAGCAGGCTTGGCTCTGATTAGATGTTGTTTGTTGTTTTTGTTTTTTTTGAATAAAAATTTCATCTTCAAAAGACAAAGATTTGTCATTACCGATATTTTTTAAATATCTATTTTTTATTAAATGATTGTCTGAGAGGTTCAAATATATTTGAGCAAAACCAGCAGTAAGAAGGGAACAACAGTTTCTAGTGTACTAAACATCCCATACATTTCTTTAAAAAATGCGTCCAATTTCTTAGCAAGCACACATTAGAGTGATAAAGTCTCATTTTATCCTAACAATTCCAATTCATGATCCAAAATCTCCTTTCCATTAGATTATAAAGGATTCTGTATATTCTCATAACAAACTGAGTGAACACATTTGAACAGTGGTCCCCCACCCTCAGGCCACAGCCTGTTAGGAACCCGACCACACAGCATCACCACCTGAGCTCTGCCTCCCGTCCCATAACCCCCTACACACACACACACACCTCCCATCTGTGTAAATTGTCTTCTATGAAACCTATCCCTTGTGCCAAAAAAGCTGGGGACCACTGCTTTGGAAAATAAATTATTTAGGCCAGGTGGGTGGGTCACTCCTGTTATCCTAGCACTGTGGGAAGCCAAAGTGGAAGGATCCCACTGAGCTCAGAAGTTTCAGACCAGTCTGAGCAAAGGCAAGACTCCCAGCTCTCCTAAAAATAGAAAAAATGAGCCAGGCATGTGGCAGGTGCCTGTAGTCCCAACAACTCAGGAAGATGAGGCACAAGATGAACACAAGAAATTGGGGCTATTATGAGCTGGGGCACTCCAGCCTGGGCAATAAGAGTGAGATGGAAAAAAAAACTAATTAACTAATTAATTTAACTGAAGCATGAAAATTACTTGTTTGTCTCTACTGAGAAATTTACCATATTAATTTATTTTTTATCCAAAAATGATGAATTCCCCTTGGGAATAGGTGCTATTACCCACAGAAGACTGTGCTAATCATCCGTTTAATCAAAGCAGGAATGACACATCAGGAACTAGGTTTACAGACTTATACAGCTTCATGTCTGATTAAGTCCTTAAACAAAACAATTCAAACTCTGCAAAGCAGGCATCCTCAAACTATGGCCCGTGGGCCACAGGCAGCCCACCTAGGACATTTATCCAGCCCACCAGGTGTTTTTGCTGCCGCTGCCTGTCCTACTTAGCAGCCAACTCATCCTGGGACCCTCAGTCCAGCCCTCTAATGGTCTAAGGGACAGTGAACTGGCCCCCTGTGTAAAAAGTTTGAGGACCCCTGCTGCAAAGTTTAATGGAAAGGGTTCCAATTTTAGTTGTGCAGAGTTAAGAATCCAGCAAAACGCTGAAATAAACAACTGGGAAACACAGTTTTAAAATCATTTCCCCTTTCCTAAGGAAAATAAATTCTAGCAACATAACCATTACCTTAGTGGCAGAATCCACAGAGGACCCTCTTCCCAGCAGCTCCTGAACCAGCCCCACATGACCTTCCTTGGCAGCCAGATGGAGAGCATTGAGTCCATTCTGAGAGAGAAACAACAGAGCTCAGAAGTGAGTGATCATGAGGGAGGCAGCATCCTGATCTTACTCAAGCATATAACAGAGAGATTGTATAGACTCTGATCTCATCTTTTTTTATTCTTTTTGTATAAACTAGAATGTATTAAGTTCAGGGGGACTGAATCAGTGTTTTTGATTCAAAAAGGCAAAAAGGTAGATACTCAATAGAAATACGAATTTGGCAACTTCATTTAAACAATTTCTTTTTTTAAACTAGGAAATTTCTAAATACTTTTCTAATGAGAAGAAAAAAAGAACAGTTCTGTATCATTTATTGTGCCAGCCAAAAATAAAATTCTGTCCAGTTTCTGTAACATACAGACTTTTAAAGAAACCTTACTTTTTAACAAATGGGAGAGGAAGGTCTTTTTGTAAAGTGATTAAAAAACCACAGGAAAGTTCTCAGCACCCTTAGCTCAGTGGTTTAGGGTGCTGAACTGGCGGGTTAGAACCTGGCCTGGGCCTACTAAACGACAATGACAACTCAACAAAAAAATAGCTAGACATTGTGGCAAGTGCCTGTAGTCCCAGCTACTTGGGAGGCTAAGGCAAGAGAATTGCTTAAGCCCAAGAGTGTGAGGTTGCTGTGAGCTGTGACAACACAGCACTGTACTGAGTGTGACATAGTCAGACTCTGTCTCAAAAAAAAAAAAAACCAAAAACCGTAGGACAATTCCTGTGTAAACAGAACTCTATGATGACAACCCCATACTTAAAATTCATTTCGTATTATGTTACTGAACTGAATTGTTTTCAAAAGTTTAAAATTTATTTTGTAATCTCTGATAGTACCATAAAATCTGGTTTGGGCCTACCTAAATTCCTAAAAATTAATTATTCACCATAGCATTGAACATATTTTAAATATGTCTAAATATGTAAAACTAAATATGATATTTATACATATTAAACTGACATAAAGGTTACAAATCTTACCATAGATATAAGGAGAATCAAACACATATACCAGATTACCATATGGTAATTTCATGCATATGGTCACTGTATATTTTATACCCAATAATTTTGTTATTGAAAGTAGTAGGCTTTTATAGTTGATATATTTTTATACTTGACAAAAAAATTAATATTTGTTTTTCCTCTTTGCTAAACATGCCCTGGTTTTAACATTTGAATAAACAATGATGTCGTACATCAATACATGCATAGTTTCTATATATTTACTGTCACAAAATGGTAAGAAATAAAGCACTTTGGAAATTTACTGTTATATTGTCAGAAAATTTACTGAATAAATCAATAATATAAAAACTTAAAAAAATAAGAGTTTTATAACCTCTGAATTCTACCAACATGCAAATGATGCTGTGTTAGCTGTACACAAGTGACTTAGCCAATAAAAGTTATTTTCACTCCTATTATCATTTCAAGAAAAGCATTATGTTTTAAACTTGTTTTCTAGAGTTAGGGCCAAGAAGGCTCTTAGGGCCATATAGAATTCCCATCACAAAACTCAAATTTTGAATAGAGTGTCAGAGAGAGAAAGAGTGATGATAACAGAGAGGCAATGGGAGACACTGAGGGTGGGGGTGGAAGGTGGATTGACATGGGGCTCCTGAGTGCCCACAGAGGAAGGGGTAAGCTGCAGACCTTGGAGCCCCACCCCTCACTCCCAACAGGCAATGGGAGATGCTGAGGGTGGGGGTCGAAGTGGATTCACAGCATGGGTCTCCTGAGTGCCCACAGAGGAAGGGGTAAGCAGCAGACCTTGGAGCCCCGCCCCTCACTCCCAACAAGCAATGGGAGACACTGAGGGTGGGGTTGGAAGGTGGATTGACAGCATGGGGCTCCTGAGTGACCGAGGGAAGGGGTAAGCAGTAGACCTTGGAGCCCACCCCCACCCCCCGCCCGGCTCCCACCAGGAAGCTTTGCAGCTTTAAGTGAAAAGCGTTCCTTGACACCCCCAGGTTTCCAGAGTACTGTGGGGAGCTCAGGTGGAGTTTTGAGAGAGCACAAAATTCTGGACTCCAGAGCTGAGAACTAATCAGGAGCTTATCCCTCAGTGATCTGACACTGCATGGCTGCTAAGCCAGGATGAGAAATTGAGCTATCCTGAGCTCTAGGCTCAAGTTTTTCCACTGTGACTGTGGGCTAGAGTGGAACTAAGGGGCGTTTGGACAGGAGCTCCATGCCTCAAAGCCTTTCCCTGGATCTGCCTGTCTTCTTACACAGAAAATGGCATGCTTCCCGTGCAACCACCACCAATGAGACTGTAGTGACACTCCACGTGGCTGACTTGAGTCTTCCTTGGGTAGCCCAATACCTGTCTGCAACTCTTGGTCAGGGTTGGCACTCCCTTGGACTTGGGTATCCTAGGAACCCATACTCCCAACACTCAACTGTGTCATTTGGAGACCTGGAGAGAAGATTTGTGAACTGACATCAAGTGGGGAGGGAGCTCATTTGGGAGGGTGTGGTGTATATTTGAGCTGCAGTGCACACACAGGAAAACCCTGTCCCCCGAGAAACAGTAGCCAGGCTTTCTGTCCTGGCCCAGGAGGCTTGTAGTCCCCTCTAGTTGGTCTGCCTGAGGGTAGTCGCTTTGGACTAGTGTGGCTGGTTTGGCTGGTTCCCAGTGGTCTGAAGCTAAGGGTAATCCACTACTTCAGAGGAGGAGGAGTGACCTGAACCCACCTTCTGCCTCTTATACTGTGGATTATGGACTCCTCTCCTCCACAAGCAAGTTCTTTAGTTTGGTGAGGCATTCTCATGCCCACTCCAAGTCTTCCCCAGCAGCAGGAGAACTGACTTTTGACCCCCACTGGGATGGCACTTGTGCTAGCCCTTGGGGAGCCTGGACATGGCCTTGCCTAATGAAGTTCCATCTGGCTTTGCCCCTTCCATCAGCCTTGGAGGTGATGGATCACAAGAAGAGGCCAATTGGGTATTTCTAGTCCCTGCCCAGTGCCTAGGACTCCGAGAGTTTCTTCTCATACACTAGCAGGCGTCCTCAAACTACGGCCCGCTGTCTGAGGGACAGTGAACTGGCCCCCTATTTTAAAAGTTTGAGGACCCCTATACTAGAGCCAGGCCTAGCTCCCACAAACAACACATGGAACTCTCTCCTGCTAGCACCACCTACTGGCACAGAGGTTAACTTGTACAAACCATGTGATTATTTGCTGATTCAATTATATTGAGCTTGGCCAACTCTTACCCACAAGCACCACCTACTTGCTTGGAGACAAAAACGGACATCCCAACATATTGCTTACTGTCAGAAGCACACAGGGCTTGAGAAATAAGTATGATCCTAGAGACCTTCACCTCTCTTTCTTTGCAGGAGACAGGGAACTTGCTCACATGGACAGTTCATCTCCAACATGATTTACAAACAATTAGCATTGGAGAAAACCACCACATTCAAGCTATCCCTTACTAAAAATTTACTTGGAGCCTTCATTATCTGAAAGTAGCTGTAAATAAAGCCAAAGGTCCTTACCTAACAAATACTATAGGTAAACCCTTAGAGAAAGAAAAAAGTACCACCTAAACAAAAGTAAAGTGAAGACAAAAAAGAAGTGGATAGCTTCTCTAGATGAGAAGAAATCTGTGCAAGACCTCTGGCAGTATGAAAAAAAAATAGGAGTATGATATGACCAAAGGATCACACCAGTTCTCCAGCAAGGTATTTCAAAAAAAAAAAAAAAAAAAAAAAAAACTTTAAATGTCAGATAATGAACTCAAAATACTGAGCACAAGTAAAATGAAAGAGATCCAAGAAAAAGTTGAAAACCAATATAAAGAAACCAAAAAGTAATTGAAGACACGGAAAATTCACTGAAAAGATAGATACCTTTTTAAAATAGAACTTTTGAAAATGAAAGACTCATTGGAGAATTACAAAATGCAGTGAAATATTTTAAAAAACAGATTAGGCCAACCCAAAGAAAAAATTAAAGATAGATAAAGCTTAAAGAGAAAGCTTTTGTATTAACCCAATCAGTCAAAAATAAAATAAAAAGTATCACTGACAAAAGAAGAAATGGATGAAGGTCTTCAAGAAATATGGGATTATATAAAATGCCTAAATGTAAGAATTATGAGAAGAATAAGATAAAGTAAAAAGCATGGAAAACCTATTTAAGGGAATGATGGGGGAGAACTTCACTGGTGTTGGTAGAGATTTAGACATCCAGATACAAGAAAGTCATCAAACCCCTGGAAGATTCATTTCAGATAGGGTATCACTAAGGCACACAGACATCCAACTGGCCAAAGTCAAAGTGAAGAAGAAACTCCTACAAGCTGTGAGCCAAAGGCATAAAGTGACTACAGCAATCTTCTTCTAGAAAACTTATAAGCTAGAAGGGATTGGGATCTTATCTTTAGTCTTCTTAAACAGAGAAACTGTCAGCCAATAATTTCATATCCTCAAATCAAAGTTTTAAAAATGAAGGAGGAGTAAAGTCTTTCCCAGAAAAGCAAATACTAAAGGAATTGATCAATACTAGACCTGCACTACAAGAAATGCTCAAAAGTGCTCTACACATAAAAAAGAATAGTCAATACTCACCAGTTTAAAAATACTCAAAAGTAAAAATATACAACTCTTACAGAACAGTAACACAGGGAGAATACAAAGCAACAAGGTAACAACACGATAAGTGGAACAGTGTCTCCCTTAATATTAACATTAATATTAATATATCTCTTAATATTAACATTAAATGCAAACATATAAATGCCCCACTTCAAAGACGTAAATGGCTGAAATGGATTAAAAATTCTTCAACATCATCAATCCCTGGGGAAATGAAAATTAAAACCACAATGAGATATCACCTTAATTTAACCCTCTGAGAAGGTAGAATGGTCATTATTAAATAGCCCCAAACCAATAGACGTTGGTGCTAAGGGACAGAGTGCTAAGGGAATGCTTATACGCTGTTGGTGGGGTTGTAAATTAGTACCACCTCTGTGAAAGCCAGTACAGAAATTCT